ATATATATATATATATATATATATATATATATATATATATATACCCATATAGTGTAGCTTTAAGAGCATTTTAATGTAAAAAAAGTCTCTTACGACAATTTTAATTACCTCGTCTCTTAAGCTGTTTTTGATTGTCATCGAAATGTCAAAGCAATTAATTTATGCGGAAGTACATTAAATTTAATTGTTTTTTAAAAATTTTTTAAAAAACCGCAATTATAACGACTAGAAAGTTTTTTTTAATTAGTGGTGTTTTTGTTATTGATTTAATAAAAAACATTTTTTAAACATGCGTAAATGTTGCTACATCGACTATCTTATAGCCTGACTCGCAACGGAGTGCTGCTACATCGACTGACAAATAGCCTGACTCGCAACGGAGTGCTGCTACATCGACTGACAAATAGCCTGACTCGCAACGGAGTGCTGCTACATCGACTGACAAATAGCCTGACTCGCAAGGGAATGCTGCTACATCGACTGACAAATAGCCTGACTCGCAAGGGAGTGCTGCTACAACGACTGACAAATAGCCTGACTCGCAAGAGAGTGCTGCTACATCGACTGAGGGTTTGGTTTGGCCAGGCAGTCTATCAATTAAAAAAAAAAATTTAATTTCTAAAACTTTTTCTGGTCTGGTTTATTAATGCCCTCTTTAAAACTACAGTTTATGGGAAATATTTTTTGATGCCACGCAAGAGACATGCAAGAGTATATATATATATATATATATATATATATATATATATATATATATATATATATATATATATATATATATATATATATATATATATATATATATATAGAAAAAAGCCATTTTTAATTAATATAACAGTAAACACTAAGAAAAACTTACTCTTTTTTGCTGTGTTTCAACCAAAGTACCAAACTAAACAAATTTTAATATAAACAATTTATTTAATTCATTTTTTTTTTATTTAACTGGTTCAAAATCCTTTTTTTTTTTTTTAAGTAAGCAAAGATAAATATTCAAAAAATAACTTTATATTTTTATTTTTTTCACATGTTTTTGGATTTGTTGCCTTATTAACAAATTTTAGAATTTTTAAACTGAAAAGTATTAATGAAAGGCTGAACTTGTGTATTTGATGATATTGTAAACTAAATGATTGTGATGATTTTAACAATAAAGCGATAGGTGGTTAAAATAGCTTGTAAAACATTACATATAATATTTGAATTTAAAAAAAATTAAAATAAATACTCTACCAATCTTGGTGAATGTATTTAATACTACCGGTGCATAAACAAGGATAATGAAGCGGCTTTTCATTAGTGCCTTCAGCACGACATACTCTGCAACAATCCACTTTAAGAAAAATAAAACAAATTAAATATTAAAAAAATAGTACTAATCAAATATAACAAAAGTCAGATAAGTACTTTGTGTACTTTGAGTATGCTTTGTGTATGTGTGTGTTGTGTTGTGTGTGTATTAATATTTTTAAAATACTTTAACTATTGCAGCTACAATGTTAGTCTATAAATTAAAGAAAATTCTTTTCAATTTACTTGTTAAACAAGTTCTATTATTAAAGTTTAATAAAATAAGTAAATGGAAAAAAGTAAGTAAGCTTCGCAAGTAACTGTTACCCTTTGAAGGAGTAACTGTAATTATGTACAGATATTTTCAATACTAATTTTGTAACAGTAAATGAGTTATTATAATGTGGCTTTGACAGTTTTTCAGCCAAATAAAAAAAAAAAAAAACATTTTGTCAGGAAAATTATTATTGTTTATAACTAAATGAGGGTAAATAATACCATCAGATCGATCTTCAAAATCTGCATCATCGTATATATCGTTCATTGTGTGTATTTTTTAATATTTTTTAATAAAATTAGTTCTCATTCTGCAGGAAAGTATATGTTATGTTTTATGTCTTTCTTCATCGCTCGAGGCAATGTTTTTATCCTAAAAATTAAACTTTGTTTTAAGTGACGACATTATTTTCATATCCGATTAGAAAACTGTTTATCGTAACATCGGCGTATTTACTCGGTATTTTAGCGAAGTTTTTTTTTTATGTATATATATATTTATATTATAAATATATACATAAAAAAAAAAAAAACTTCGCTAAAATATATATATATATATATATATTATATATATATATATATATATATATATATATATATATATATATATATATATATATATATATATATATATATATATATATGTATAGATATATATATATATATATATATATATATGTATATATAAACATATATATATATGCATATATTATATATATATACATATATATATATACATATATATATATATATATATATATATATATATATATGTATATATATATATATATATATACATATATATATACTACATATATATACATATATATATATATATATATATATATATATATATATATAATATATATATATATATATATATATAGTATATATATATATATATATAAATATATATATATATATATATATATATATATATATATATATATATATATATATATATATATATATATATATATATATATATATATATATATATATATATATATATATATATATATATATATATATATATATATATATATATATATATATATATATATGTATAGATTTTCGATATATAGAATATATTCGAGGTTAAGTAATTTTGATGTAATAATACGAAGTCTCTTGTACGTGTTACAGTGAAAGTAAGAGAAGTAAAAAGAAAAAGTAAAGATAATTTGATAACTTTGCGCCCTATTAAATCTTTGCGCCGGGGCAATTTCTCCTTTGTTTTCCCTACCTAGCTACCCTACTGATTAAGTCAGCGAAAAGCTATCAGTATTTGTTCAGATAAAGATTAAAGCTATTTAGCTTTAATCTTTATCTGAACATTATTGGGGCACCTAAATTAAAAAAAAATTTATTGGGGCACCTAAATTAAAAAAAAATTGTTTATTGCGCGATTCGTTTTATTATAAAAATCGCACGTACTGTATTTTATAAAAAATTTTTAAAAGTATTGTAGTTTTAAAGATATTGCTTAATTTTTCAAATGAATATAACTATATTAAATAATTATTTAATATAGAATAAAAATTGTTAGGTCTTAGTTCAATTGTAAGTTCAGTTGTAGTTGATTTTACTTCCATTATATATTACAGGGTTATGCGGAAATATAAATCAAATTATGTTTAAATAAAAACTTTTTTGATATAAATATTTTCTTAGAATAATATACTTTTTTATAATGTAAATATAAATGTTTTCATATATTATTTGCGTTAAAGTCATATTTTTATTTTGTTGTTATTTAGGTGCCCCAAGAAAACCTAACGGTCTTATCACAGAACACCGCGGAAGTGCATTTAACCAGGAAGTTCACGCCTCCTTCCTTACCGTGACGCAAAAATATGTCGAAAGCTCGTTTCGAACCTCGATCTCCTGCTTATAAAGCATGAGCCCTAACCACTGCGCCACGGCTGCACAATTTTATTTATTTAGTCTCTTATTTTAATTTTGTATTTTCTTACTTACATTTTCTTCTTTTAATTTATATTTCTCCATAAAAAAATTTGCATTTCTGCGTTTCGCCTATTTACTTATGTTTCCTAGATGCTGAAAAAGTTTTTGACAGTTGCAAAAAAACTGGAATCTTCTCTTTCATAAACTTAACTTTGATAAAAACCTACCTCTCCAAATAGTTAACACTGTATCATCTTTGTACCACAACAGTCGTGCAACTGTCCTTTACCTTGTTTTACTTCAGTTTTATTTGCTCTTAAGCGAGGTATAAGGTAAGGCTCATTTTTGTTGCCCCAATTGTATGACATATACACTCAAAACTTACTTGAAACTATAAAAGATGATAGCACATGGTAACTTAATAGGTGTTGTTGTTTATTCTAACGACATCATTCTGCTCAGCTCTACTCTGTCTGATCTTAAAAGGTTTATTACAACGTGTAATGATTACAATAACATAAACGGCATAAAACTCAATGCTGTAAAAACGGAACTTTTGTTCCGGAAAACGACAAGTAACTAACCCTGACGACCATCAAGTAATACTAAATTCATCATTCATCAAAAACTTAATCATCTGGGCTTCATGTGGGATACAGAAAAATCCAATTTAGCCTCACTAAATAGATTAAATATTAACAGTAGGGTATCAAATTTCCAAACAACAGTGCAAACTCTGGTATCCGTTTTGCACATCCATCTTCAATTATCTAATTAGATAAATCTTTAGCAGTTCTAACGCTAACACTGCAAGAATAGAGAGTTAACAATGCAAATACTTGATAAAAATAATAACTAACTTTTGAAATCATCAATTCCCAGCTTACTCGGTGGGAAATCGGCTTGCGAATAGCAAGCTATAATCGTAACAATAAAGACAGCGGTTTGGCCACGAGGATCGTTAGCTTTTTTAAGTAAGCGAAAAGCTATGGATATTTGTACAGATAAAGATTAAAGCTATTTGGTTATGAGAACAGCTATCTTAATAAAATAAAGACCCACTGGCTATTGTAGCAAGTGTCGTATCGTAATAAAATTGTTGTCTGATATGTAGCTATCAACCAGCTATAGATTTGTAGATATTTTGTAGCCAGCTACAAAGCTACGATATTTAGCTAGGGACACATTGCTACAAAATTGCAATGTTTAAAGTTAAATTATCTTCATAATTATAATAGACTCACCACTAAAAAACGAATTTTTTAAGATGTTAAAGATATTAGCAAAAAATAAAATAGGAAAAAAAAATCGCTTCAAAATCGCTATAAAGCTAGCTAATCGCTCGCTAGACGCTAGCTAATTTCCTATCGGGTAACTATTATTCAGTAAAACATTCATTTTTAGATGATATAAAGGAATTATGTAAGTTCCATAAACTAAATATGAAAAACCTAATTCAAGTTAAGAAGAAAGTCAAAGTTTCAGAAAACATAATTCCTGAAGATACCTATCAAATTTTAGTTTAAAATATAATTACAACCTAGCACAACATTGTATTTTCTTTTATTTACACAGTTTTTTTTTATTTCTCAGTCGGTGTAGCAGCACTCCGTTGCGAGTCAGGCTATAAGATAGTCGATGTAGCAACACTCCCTTGTAGCAGCAGGCTATAAGATAGTCAATGTAGCAACACTCCGCGCATGATTTAACACAGTTTTTTTTTATTTCTCAGTCGGTGTAGCAGCACTCCGTTGCGAGTCAGGCTATAAGATAGTCGATGTAGCAACATTCCCTTGTAGCAGCAGGCTATAAGATAGTCAATGTAGCAACACTCCGCGCATGATTTAACACAGTTTTTTTTTATTTCTCAGTCGGTGTAGCAGCACTCCGTTGCGAGTCAGGCTATAAGATAGTCGATGTAGCAACACTCCCTTGTAGCAGCAGGCTATAAGATAGTCGATGTAGCAACACTCCGCGCATGATTTAAAAATATATTTTAACAAAACAACAACAAAAACGCTATTAATTAAATAACACTTTCTAGTCATTAATATAGCGATTTTTTTAAAAAATAATAAAATTTAATGTACTTCCGCATTAATTTAATTGCTTTGACATTTTAACGACAATAAAATGCAGTAAGTAATAAGTCTCGACTACACTATATATATATATATATACATATATATATATATATATATATATATATATATATATATATATATATATATATATATATATATATATATATATATATATATATATATATATATATATATATATATATATATATATATATATATATTCAATGTTAATTCATGAGAATAAGAAGACCACTACCTTGAAACACAAACATGACGAACAAGGTCGCTGCGCGGAGAAACAAGTTGAGCATAATACTACCAGGGACTTGGTAGGGGATCGAACTCGAACTTTCCTAAGACGATATTTAGAATTAGAATTAGAATTATTTTTCTGTTTCAGCTTACAAAGTTAGTCGTTTTACAATACCATAAACTATTAAAATTACTTTACAAATATATATATATACAAATATATATATTTGTATATATATTTGTATATATATATTTGTATAACAGTGTAAACTAGGTTTCCAAAAGAAGATCACTAAGATCTTATCATCGGAACCTTAAAAACATTTATAAACAATATAAATTACGAATACCTTGTAAAGTATACGTTACAGTAAAGTAAAATATATATATAGAACTTAACAACAAAATTTTAGGGAAAAATAATAAAAAGTTAAATAATAGATAAATTAATTAATAGTACTATAAAATGTAATCAAGGGAAAAAATTAGGTTTTTAATTTGTTTTTAAAAAGACAAAAAGAATTTGGTCGATCAAAATCAACATTAGGTAAAACAAATTTATTCCATAGGTGCGGTGCACGATAGGCAAGACAAAATTGATTAAAATTTGTTTGACCAAAAGGTTCGTTAAAATTTTTTTAAAAAAAAAATCTTAAAAGACTGGGGGGGGGGGTAGATTGTTTTTCCACATATAAACAAAGCATAAAATTTTTAAAACGATGAGTTCAAATATATTTAAAATTTTCATCTCAATAAAATAAAGCTTACAATGAATCAGCAAAGTTAATTATGCGAATTGCTCGTTTCTGACAGCGATAAAGACAAAGTAATTTACTTTTTTCAGTACTTCCCCAGGCAATATTACTAATATTGCATACTAATATTACTAATATTGCATAATACAAAGCTCGAACTTATCTCAATAAGAAATACTTAAGGCAACTTTATTTCTCATTTATTCACTGCTACATAAACTGCGCTAATATTATTAGCGTAGTTTATGTAGCAGTGAATAAATGAGAAATAAAGTTGCCTTAAGTATTTCTTATTGAGATAAGTTCGAGCTTTGTACAAAACTCCAATGTTTTTAGAGACTTTAGTGCATATATAGTTAATATGTTGATTCCAATTAATGTTCTCATCGAGATAAACACCTAAGAATTTAATAACGGAGTCTCTTTTTATTTCAATTTCATCAATAAAGATTGGAGGCAAGTTTAAGAGTAAAAATTTTTTTTTCCTATTCGAATGAAAAAGAGTCCATTTAGTTTTGTCAGTATTTAAAGTTAATTTGTTGGATTTAAACCAGTGGGATAAAAGTTTAAGTTCTTTATTCACTGTGGCAAAAGTTCGCTAATATCGCTCTTAGAGATGAATAAATTAGTATCATCAGCGAACATGATGCTCATCAGATTAGTTGCTTTATTTAAATCGTTTCTATAAATTAAAAAAAGGAGAGGTCCGAGGATTGAACCTTGTGGAACTCCACAGGTTATACTTAAACAATTGTTGCGATAGTTGTCATTACCAACAACAAATTGTTTTCTATTTGTTAAGTAATTTCTGAACCACCTTAACGCTATTTCATTTTAGATTTCACAAGAAACAAATGATATTTAGCAAACGGATACAGATTTTCAAAAATAAGAACAGATTTCAGCGTCGCCATTGTTTTATATATATATATATATATATATATATATATATATATATATATATATATATATATATATATATATATTATATATATGTATACTCTTGTATACAAAGTTGATATTCCAATATGGCTAAACTAATCTAGGAGATACCCGTCTAGATTTATATTCGTTCCGGACCTCGTTGTTATAGCAATATTTAAAGCGCAAGGAATTGTGGTACTAAAAGCTATTCAAATTTTTGCAGCGCATGCGCTACATTCAATAAAGAATTTGTAACGCCACTCAAGTCTTTTAATGCATTGAGAGGTTCGCGTTAGTTCTTGGTGTAGCTCTCTCTCCCACAAACATATTATCGCTGGTTTTATTATTGCTTTTACCTCCTGGCCTGTAAAGTATGATTTATTTCTCGTTTATTGCTTTGTTTGTTCAGAGTAGTTTTAATTAAAAAATTTCTCAATGTATTTTTTGCAAAATTTATGTAAGCCTTACAGTTAGGTTCGATTTAAAGATTTTTCATTATTGCTTAAAGTTTTTGATACTGTATTCAATCAATTTTTTCTTTCTACTGAAGACAAAAAATCAAATATATATATATATATATATATATATATATATATATATATATATATATATATATATATATATATATATATATATATTTGATTTTTTATATATATCTTTTACTTTGTTGTAAAGTATATACAGATTTAGAGTTTTCAAAATTTACTCTGTTTTATGCACAAATCGTGTGTTTACGTATTACAATGCTAGGCGGACACGCCAACTTGTATATTAGTGTTTGCTATTTACTTACCGATTAGGTTTCTAAAATAACTTTTTAGAAATTTATTAGTGACTTGTTTATTGTTTTCCTTATACCATAAATTATGCCGTATTAATTGTGAACTTAAATTAGTTATTCATCAAAAATTGTAAAGTATTTATAGATTGTCAAGTATTTACTAGGTTAGTTAAATTTTGAGAAAATTTACAATCGATGTTGTTTTGAGTTTTTAAATTGATGTTAAAATAATTATAATGTATATTAACAAAAACCTCGATTCTACAATTATAATTGAGAAATATAAAAATAACAATTATATTAAGAATAAAAGAATTTTAAATTTAAACTTCAACGCTTTCAACTTGTTGAAAGTGTTAATTTAAATTTCGCACACACTTTTATCGTTTGCACAGGGATTCAAGTAATAAAATATATTCCAGGTACTATTAGAGCATAACTTTAAAAAAAACAAATTTTGATTGTGATTTTTAGATGATTTATATTTTAACTTGGTTATGGTGTAACTTATATAGCAAACTGCCTAATTTATAGCTATGACCTACAAGCTACACGAAAAAAGTTAAACCATTGACAATAGTGCCCTTCTCTGGACTTAATAAATGTCAATTTATAACTTTTTGAAACTTTCAATATAGTTTTTAGCAGAAACTTAAATTATTATCAAGTAGCAAAGTGAAAGTGATTGCATGTGTATCCCAGCAGTTTAAGTTCTTATAAGACTTCTATTATAGGTTCAAAAAACAATTTATTTTTACTACAAGATATATAATTTTTACAAATTACCCTTCTGTATAAATCTATTTAATATAACAAATATGCTAAATAACTTGACAAGTAAGATGTTTTAATTAAAATATTTTTAAAAACTGGCCCTAAAAAATAATTAAAATTCTTTAGATTATTTGTTACTGTAATAACTAAATGTTGTTTTTAAAATGCTAAAATCTTAAAGATATTACTCTCATGTCCTTAATACAAGGGAGTGGGATTTTGTCCAGACCAAACAGGGGGTAATAAAAGGAAAGGGTGGGCATTTTTTAAATTCTAATGTAAAAAGTTTTTATAAAATAAAACTATTAAATTTAGTGTGGCTTATGATCACATGTGCATTTTCTAACAGCTGTCTTTTTTGCAAAATAATTATTGCAATAAGATTTAATATGCTAATTTAAGTTTTATACCTAAGTAAAAATAAAAGCCTATGTTTCAACAAATCAAGATTTACTTGGTCAGCAATTTTAAATTTTGATTAAGAATTAATCAAAACTTAATCAGGCAAATTCAGTTAAAAAGTGTGTGTGTGTGTATATATATATATATATATATATATATATATATATATATATATATATATATATATATATATATATATATATATATATGAAGCAATGTAGACTAAAGTTTATTTTCTGTAGATTATTAAAGTGTGAAATGAGTGAACGAATTAAACTTTATGTCGGCTCATTGCCATTTGACACCCGTGGTCCAGATCTTGAGGAAATGTTTTCAAAGTATGGGACTCCTTATGATGGTATAGTTTTATATTTGTATTTTAAACATAGTTAATAGTCAAGAAATAAAGTTAAATTTCTTGAATTTTTATATTTTATCTAGCTCATGTTGTAATGGAAAAAGAAGATCCGAATCGTTCCAGAGGATTTGGATTTGTTGAGTTTGAAACAAAAGAAGAAGCTGATGCTGCAATTGCTGGACTTAATGAAACTCCCTTGGGTCATCGACATATTATGGTTCAGCATGCAGGACAACCTGCAAGCGGGAAACCTCCACAGCGTCGTGGCAGAGGTGGCGGCGGTGGTAGAGATGGTGGTAGAGGTGGCGGTCGTGGTGGTAGAGGAGGTGGTGGTGGTCGTGGTGGTAGATCTGGAGGTGGTAGAGGAGGTGGTGGCGGTGGTGGTAGAGGGGGACGCAGTGGTGGTGGTGGAGGAAGAGGAGGAGGTGGTGGCGGTGGACGAGGTGGTAGTAGAGGAGGAGGACGTAGTAATAGCTATGACAGTGGTGGTTTTGGTGGGGGAAGGGGTGGAAGCAGAGGCTTTGGTGGTCGTGATGGTGGCGGAAGAGATGGTGGAAGAGATAATCGTGGTGGTGGTGGTTTTGAAAGCAGAGGAGGTAATAGGGGATTTGATGATGGGCGTGGTGGTGGTCGTGGCGGTGATTATGGAAGAGGTGGAGGTAATTATGGTGATAACTCTGGTGGATATGGTCAGTATAGCCCGCCACAAGGAGGTTATAATGGAGGAGGTCGAGGTGGAGGGTATGGTGGTGGTGGATATAACCAAAGTGGGTCACATCCCGGAGGAGGTTATGGTGGTGGTGGAGGGTATGGAGGTCATCAAGGAGGTGGTGGAGGGTATGGACCAGACTCAAAACGTAAGAATGTTTAATAGCTATTATCTTTATAATTTAGCAAAATTCTATCCCTTCCCATATCCCTTTTTTTTTCCCTATTAAAGTATATTTACATTTAAAAATTTCATTTTTCTTGAATCAAACAAAAAATTTTTGGTTTTCTCATTTTTATTAATAAAATATGAGATGTTAAGTCTTTAAACATTAAATTATAGATTAATGCTTTTGAAAAATTTATTTGATTTAGTTTAGAAGTTAATTAAAATTATATTTAATGACATGGCACCAAAACTTTATAATCAATTATTCTTATAATTCTTTTGCCTGTATGCTTTTAAAGTTTAGTTAAACTTTTCATGTAAAGCTGTTTGTATACAAGTTGTTTTAATTTGATAGAAATTTTTTTTCTTTATGTCATGTTCTAAGAGGTCAGATTCATGCAAAAAAAAAGTTTGTTTAAATAAAAGGTTATTGTAAGAGAAAAAAACACTCTTTTTTACAGTTTTTACATGCATATATATATATATATTCAATTACAAATTAAAAGTCTGTTTTGTCATTTGCCAATGGTGTTTACTAAGTTTCATAAACTGAATAATTTTGTCAACAGTTGCTCATATTATTATATAAAACTGTCAAACTTTATTATTTTATAAAACTGCATAGCAGTAACAAGTTTAACTTTAAATAGCCCTTTTTTAGTGTTTGCTTTAAGTTGTAATGTTTGTATGAATGGTATTGTCCTAAAACAGTATGAGTCCTCAAAAAATTGTTTGCACAACAAATTAATACCCTTAATTCTTGTGTGATAGATTAAATCATCCATTTTACTTTGATTATTTTATCATTTGTGAGAATTTGTTTGTTAAGTTGTTTTTCCTAAGTTATCAAGGACTTAAATGTGACAACAAGAACTATATAAATGGTAGTGAGTACTTCATTCAACATTAGTTAAAGTTGTATTTATAAACTGCTAGAATCTGACCTATATAACATGTAGATAAAGTTCTTATTATTATTATGTTTTTTGACTTTGATTTACAAATCTATTGCTTGTATTGATATTAAAAATAAACCAATTGTCACACTAAACAATTGAAACTAAATCTATTTACTGTCATTAATGTCCTGAATTAAAATTTTTAAAATTTAATTTCAAAAAAAGATGTAAAAAGTTTTTTTTGCCAGTTTTAATGCTTAAATTGTAAACTTTCAAAGTTTAGTTCCTTTATTGGGAAAATTATCTTTATCATTAGCATTATATTTCAATTATATTCTGATTATATTTGTTATCTTTCATATCGATTTTCTTTTGTTAAAGGTGATTGGTATTGAGTCCTCGAATTGTTCAATATGCATGAAGTGGTCTAACAACAATTATGCCTTGGTCTATATATCTGCATTCCATTGCCTTACGAATATTGAGGTCCCTGTATATATATGTGTCGCCCAGCTGATGAACTATTTACTCTTAGCAGAGGAATATATTTCCTATAAGAGATGAACTTTTAAAATGTTTTAATGTTTATAATGCAAGTATTGTGATTGACCTGAACAATCTGTGTGTTAATTTGATTTTAATAAATGTTAAAAAAGTTAGAACCTTTTCCTAAATGTTCACATAAGTTGTCATAAACAATATATGTAATGCAATACATAAAAAAGTAAACCAGCATGCATGCCTGTTACTTTTAATCAAGTCTGTTTTACAAAGATAATTTAATCTTCACCAGAAATCATCAGGAATCAAAAAACTTGCAGCAAAATTTTTTTTTTAATTTTTTGTGTTAGAAGTGTAAATATACCGTCTTAAGGTGTGTTATCTGTATATGTATAGATGAATATATTAAAATTAATCAATTTCCTTTTCTTTTTTTTCTTATTTTTTTAATTTCTTTGCGGTCTTAATGTTTTTTATTTGCTTATTATCAACAAAAAAAACAAGGCATGAAAAATGCTTTTAGCAACTAGCATTTCATGACAACTGACTCGAATGAATTTATTTTGATCCTATGATTTAGTGGGCTTTCTTTAGACGTTTCGTAATGATAATATATGCTCTTGCTAAGTTTTCAAGGGCTAAAGATAACCTGGCGTGTCAAAGTATATTATAAACATGAAATTTCATGAGGACATAGTGGCCAACAAGACTTAAAGACCAATTTATCTAAGGTTTGTTTTCATTTTACAAAGATTAAAGAAATAATAGTAATCAGCATTAGCTAATGGTGTGATATAATGCCTTTAGTTATTAAATAAGGCACTATTTAAATTTAAATTTGTATTCTAGAAATAAATATTCATTTGTTCACATTTTAAATTATCTTATTCTAATATTTTCATTTAGATTCAACAATGTTGAGCCTGGTACAAGAATTGAATTTTAGGACATAATTTACTCAAGTGATATCTTGAGGAACTTTTCTTTAGAGAGAATATAAAGTTGATATGTAAATGTTGTTTATATTACCAGGTAAAAATTTTATGTATGATTAATTTTATGTATGATTAATTTTTATAGTTATTTTCAATAAATGTTACTGTTATTATTTCTATTATGCAGTGCTTTCTGAATGGAGGGCTATCATTAATATAAACTCTTAGTTAAATATATATTCAAAATATAATGGCGTGGAGCTATTGTTTGCATAATGAACATTTTAAAACTGAACACAACAAAGATATTATTAAATCATATCGCAACAGGCTTAGTGTTGTAACAACTCAGGTATTTAGTTTAAATATAAACTTTCTTTTTCTGAATTTTTTTTTCTTTTAGGGATCGTCCATAAAGTTACGTACGTTGGGATGGGGGAGAGGGGTCTGCAAATGGTGTATATGAAATGAGGGGTATTTTTTAGCATAAATTTCGATATTTGTTTTTTTAATTATGAATTCTGTTTGTTTTAGCATTGGTCTAATTTTTTTCGAAGTTATTAAAGCAAAAACGTGTTGGCAACAAAAAGTTAAAACAAATTAGCAATTAACTTTGAAGATAACAGTTGAAGATAAAGAGCTTTGTAACTAGTTTTACAAAATTTCTCGAATACTTCTTAGTAACAGTTATATACATTTAGCATTTAAAAGAAATACATTTATTCGATATTAGTTGTTTAACTTTTTTTTTATAAAAAACTGTCTTTAAAATTGTCGTCCAAAATATACAATTATTATTTAGGTTTGTGACGTAAAATCATTATAAATACTTTTTTGTTTAATGGTGAATAATAATAGCTAACTTATTGATTACGACTAAACTGTTTTTCTATAAGGGAAGCTCATGTGTATGTAGGAATGTGGCAAGTATGGAATGCAAAATAAAATGTTAATCCTAATTTACTATTGCTAAGTTACTGATATTCAAAATATCCCTTACCGGATAATTTGTTTTTAATTTTTTATAATAACAATTTTTACTTGTACTTAATGCAACTAAGGCTTAGTACACGTTTTTCCGAACAAAAAGTATGACATTAGGTATGTATGGAAAGATTATTTTAAGCACTTATAATATGGTAAAAATATTGCGACTAACAAATCGTCAAGCGTAGTTTTATTTATAAATGATGCAATTTTTATCATTATTGGTTACAGATAAGTATGAATATGATTTTTTCATATATGCACGTATCGATATTAGTTTTGAATGAGTGTAACTTGGCATTCTAATCCGATATTATTTTGGAAAATTATCCATGAGAAACCATTTTTTTATGAAAATGAAGTTATTATTTTCAATACTACACCTAAATGAGTATGTTTAACAATGTCACGTCAGATTTTGAAAACCTATGGTTGTGTTAATTCCTCTACCAATGTCGTTGCGTAAATAAACTTTTAGCCCCATTTAAAAAACTAAATACCGATATTTAGTATCATTTTTTGAAATACTCGGAACTTATTCGGCCATCTTGAAATAATAAGTTATTAAATTCAGAATGCGTAAACAATTACAAAACAGGTGGAAAATTTTATAAATAATTTACATTCAATACGAATTCTTTTGCCCAAATTAAATACCAAAAAATAAAACGTTTTTCGGTTTGCTACTAAAAACCAATCGGATTTGTTTTAAATTATTAGCTTTTTATTTTTACGAGTTAGTTCTATGCCTTAGCTACATCATGGAAGTATTATACAAATAATAGTTCATCGAGCCGCAAACTACAAAGCAATTTCAAATAATCTCAGGAGTATGCTTGTAACCGACAGTTAAAAAAAACAAGTTTCACTGGACAAAAAACAACAAAATTCACTGAAATGATTTTTATTAAAACATTAAAAAATGATCTATTATATCTATAATACGCTGCAAAGTTTTAACCATTAGTAATTTCAATTATTCTGCAAAAGGTTTATTAAAACTCGGTAATTAAATAGAACCACTTGATTTTAAAAGCATGTTAGTTTAAGCTTCTTTTCTTGCTTCAAGTCATAACACGACGTTTGATTAAAAAGACAACTATAACAATTTTTAAAAAATCAAAAAAATTGTTTCTTTAGCTGTATCCTAATTCCATTCATTCTTGTAGTACTCCATTCATTTAATATGAAGTTGTCATTTAAAAAAAAGTTGTTGCTTGCCGTTTTGTTGCGCCACTTTTAATGTTTTTTCTTGAATATTATTGGCGAATCTTCAAAATAATATATTATAATAAATTATTATGTACCTATTCTCGTCAACGTATTAAGATTAAGCGTTTAATTAAAGTCTTGATGTCGTTTTCTTTTTGTTTACGAAACAAAAGGTTACAAGCATAGTCCCGAAAAATTTTAACCCTTTGAGTACGGGGAGCCACGATCGTGGCTATACCGACAGAGCACGTAGAACCTATACCGTGGCTGTATCGTCAGAGCACGTGGCTTTGAAAGTGTTCTTCAGAACTATAACTTTTTCTGCAAAAATACCGCTGTTCAAAATTTAAAGATAGTACCATTAAGTAGAGCACATTTTTTTCTTTCTTTTAGTATATTGTTTGTGTATATTTTGTATTAAATATGAGTGACATTAAATAAAGTTTTAGAGAAGAAGAAAGTTGTACAAACGAAGAATATTTAATTAGCATTGATGATAATTTTGATGAAGGCACAATATTTTTTATTGAAAAGTTGTATACAATATTATATATATATATATATATATATATTATCAATATTATTGTTACAATATTATTTATATATATATTGCCAAATCTAAGCATTTTAAGTTTTTATTTTTATGTAGACTCTGGTTCTGATGATGATGCTGGTGTTGATGATGTTTTAGATTTGTGGCTTCCTGTTGTAGGAGATGACAATACCAATAATGTTTTTCCTTTTACTGGTGTACCAGGACCCAAACATACTATTTCACCAGAGTCATTGACTTTGTTGAATTATTTTTCACAATAGAATTTTTGGAAAATTTAGTAACTTATACCAACCAGTATGCTGATCCATGGATACAAAGTAACCAACAACATTTAAGACCCCATCCGTTGTCGATAGGTCATGTATGGATAAAACAAATCTTTTAGAAATAAAGGTATTCCTTGGTGTTGTTATCAATATGGGTCTCATCAATAAAGCTAGTAATAAACTATATTGGGATATTAGTCATCCTTGTGCTTCCAGTCCTTAGTTTGTTACTCACTTCAATCGTGACCGTTTTCAACTTTTGCTTAAATTTATTAAATTTACTGATATCTCTACCCCTACTCAATAACAACTAAATAAGACTTATAAAGTTCAGTATTTAGTTGAACATTTTAACAAAATATTTCTTTATTTTTATATTCCTCAAAAAGATATTTTTATAGATGAGAGCATAATTGGTTACAAGGGAAAGACACCACATCTCCGCCAATATATGCCAAACTAACGTCATTCTCGTTTTGGAATAAAATTATGGTTTGTTTCAGACAACACCAATTGTTATTTGTCTCTGTTTGAAATTTTCAAGGGAGGAAAAGATCCGGATGAAGCAGCTGTTGCCCATGGTATGACTTACAACTTGGTTTTTTTTCTTTTGCGTCAAACCGATCTCCTCCATCATCACTTAGGTATTGATAAATATTATACTTTTCCACAACTGGTATTGGATCGATATCCACATCAAACCACAGCAACAGGCGCAGTGAGAGTAAACAGAAAAGGTCTGCTTTAAAATCAGAACTTTGCCTTAAAAAAAAATTTAAAAACAAAGAAGTTAGCCAATATAGAAAAGATCCTTGCTATGTGTGGCATACCAAGATAGTTAAAAAAAACCTGTATTACTGTCTACTGTTGCCAAAGTAGGTTTTACTGAATTTCGTAACATAAGAGCTATTTTAGTTATGAAGCCAAACGTTGTTGCCCTTTATAATCAAACCATGGGAGGGGTAGATTTGGGAGATGTACAGCTCTACTTGTACCTATCAGCGTAAGACAATAAAGTGGAGGACAGCAATTGCCTTTTCTTTATTTTGCAGGGTTATTCTTAACAGCTACTTATTGTATAAGCTTAACACTATTCAATAAGTTTTATGATGGCAATTGTGGAAAGTTTAGCTGGAGGGTATCAACCAGTAAAAGTAGTTACAAAAAGACTTCTAGGGAGATGGAAGTGGCAAGAAGTACAATTGTACCATATCCACTTCCTCAACACACAGTGATTAACAATCCTTTATATGGTTATAACCTTGTCAAAATTGGTTCAGGGAAAAAAATAAAGTGTGTCGCTGGGGACCAAACTCATGTTCGCACCAGTTGGCAGTGTCAGTCTAATTCACACAACAGCTATGAATTAAATACATCGCATTTCTTAAATTCTTTTACAACAAACTACAAAAAATAAACTAAAATTCAAAATAGTTGTTTTTCAATTTTTTTTTTTTTTTAGT